GGAGCCCGATGCGGGACTCGATCCAGGGACTCCAGGATCATGACCTGAGCCGAAGGCAGTCGCTTAACCAACTGAGCCACCCAGGCGCCCCGATTACTCTTATTTTGACAGAGTTTTCTAATCAGCTTGATTTTTGCTTTTCCATCCCCTGTCAGGTCAAAAGGCTTCAGCTAAAGGTGATGAGGTCTACCAAAGGCAAACCATGAAATGCAGAGAAAACGGACACCCCCATGTTGTGTTTTATTTTAAAAGACAGGAGACTGCTCACAATGTTTTGGGACAATTTTCTATCCAAAATGTTTAAAATTCTAAGAAATGATTTGTGTCTGAAGGCTCTTCCCTCCGGGGAAAAGCCCCCTCCCTGAGCGTGCAGATGGACACCTGGGGAAGGAAAACATCGGGGACCTGGGTACCAGTGCCCGCCACAGCCTTGGGTTGTACACGATAGAAGCTTCTCGTTTGCCTTTAAATGATTTTGGTTTCCTTTTAGTTTTATGTTTTTGATTGATTTAGAATTTTCTTTACCAGGGACCATGAGTCCTAGCACGACAGAAATATCCTGTTACATATGGTGAGCCCCCTCTGCGACTCCCTATTGAGAACGCATGGCTTTCCCAGATCCTCCTGTTCCCTGATCTGATAGTTCAGCTGCTTGCTTACCTGAAGGGAGGCCGGCAGAGATTTTCCATTTTTCTTTGCCATGTACTTAATGACGCTCATGGCTTTAGCACTTTTGTTCTGGGAGATCAGCCACCTCGGAGACTCAGGTATGCCCCTAGGGTATAGCACAATGTTATCAGTGTTGTTCAGTCCGGGATGAGGGCGTCTTCCTGAGCCTCTGTCCCCAGTGGTCGTAATCAAATTTCTGCAAGGGATCTTACACAGTGAAGTTCGGTTGGATCTACAAAGGAGATAAAATTGTGCAGGGGCTGCCCAGCAAAAGAAATCAACAAAATGAGAAAGCAGCCTACTGGATGGGAGAAAATATTTACAAATCATATATCAGGTGAGGGATGAATGCCCAAAATATACAAAGAACTCGTACAACTCAAATGCAAAAAAAAAAAAAAAAAAAAAATCTGATTTAAAAATGGGCAGAGAATCTTAATATACATTTTCCCAAAAAAGACATTCAGATGGCCAATAGGTACATGAAAAGATGCTCAACATCACTCATCACCAGGGAAACACAAATTGAAGCCACAAGGAGATGTCACTTCACATCTGTTAGGATGGCTAGAATCAACAAGATAAGAAATAACATATGCTGACCGGGTGTAGGGAAAGGGAATGCAAACTGGTGCAGCCACTGTGGGAAATGGTGTGGAGGGTCCTCAAAAGATTAAAAATAAAACTACCCTATGATCCAGCCATTCCACTTCTGGGTATTTATTAGAAGGAAAGAGAAATACTAATTCAAAAAGATATACACACCCCTTTGTTTCTTGCAGCATTATCTACAAGAGCCAAGTCATGGAAACAACCTAAGGGTGTGTATGTATATATATATATATATAATGGAATATTATTCAGCCATATAAAGGAATGAAGTCTTATCATCTGTGACAACATGGGTGGGCCTAGAAGGTATTATGCTAAGTGAAATAAGTCAGAGAAAGACAAATACCGTACGATCTCACTTATACGTGGAACCTAAAACAAACAAAGCTCATAGATACAGGGAACAGATTGGTGGGGGAGGAGGTGGACAAAATGGGTGAAGGGGTCAAAAGGCACAAACTTCCAGTTACAAAATAAATAAGTCCTGAGGATATAATATATAGTATGGTGACTATAGTTAAAAATACTATATTGCATGGGGCACCTGGGCGGCTCAGTCAGTTGGATATCTACCTTCAGCTCAGGTCATGATCCTGGGATCCTGGGATCGAGCCCCGCCTCGGGCTCCCTGGTTCGCGGGGAGGGGTTATGGTATATGGGTTTTTCCTCCTTCACCCGCTGACTTCTATTCAGCCTTGTGCAGGAACCTTGCAGGTCCCCTCTTCAGAGAGTTCCCAGTGGGACTCTGCAAAGCAGGGGTCAGCTGAATATCCAGCCAGTCCTGTGCTAGAGGGACGAGAAGCAGGTTGGCTGGGGCTGGGCACATGCTGAGAGCTGACAGCTGGGCTGCAGGGCTGCTGGTGGCAGGATGCCGTTCTGTCATGGGGGAAAGCAAGAACTTTATGTGTATTATTCTGACAGCTGATTTCTCAAAGAAGGAGGTAAGAGTTTGAGGCAAGCTGGTGGATCTGGGCGGACACAGGGAGCCCCTGGAGCTCCTTGAGCAGGACTCCAGCCACTTGGATCTGTGTTTGGAGACCACTCTTGGAGCGGCTGGCTCAGGGTTGATGGGAGGAAGAGGGACTGGCAGGATGGAGGTAGCAGGGCTGGCCTGGTGGGAGCTCTGGCCTAGAGTCACGTGGGCCATCACTCTGGGAGAGAAGGTTGCTCTGAGAGGTGGGGCTTCAAGGAACTCGGGACAGAAGTTTGTGGGAGTGCAATGGAGAGAGGAATCAATGACAACTGATTAAGATTTGACATTAAGAATGGAAATGTGGTGAGCTCAACCATAATCAATCCACAACTCACAGAGCGCATCCCTTCTGCTATGACACCATAGGGCGATTTTTCTAGATCACATTTGGTGCACAGGTTGAGCCCGGTCACCCACACCTCAGGAAGCAGGGTCAGTTCAGCCAGGTGTTGCATGAACTGAAGGGCCAAGAAGGTGAAGGACTTGGGAACCAGATCAGAGAAGACAGGAACCATAAGTGGCTAGCCTACAGGTGGAAAGTCTGGATGGACTCTCAGAAGCATATCCAGATAGTTCAAGAATTGCCCGGGAGAATAGAAATTAATTTTTTGAAGCTCTAAGCGCAGAATTGGGAGCCCTGGGTACACTTGCCGGGAATGTAAATTCTGGCTCAATGAGAAGTCTCTGGAACATGAGCTTTGGGTTCTACAGTAAAGTAGCTTGCTTGATGATGAAGTAGGAGCTAGCCATTAACAGTGTTCAAGCAGAAGCTGAATAATCATCCCCTGGGGGCGTTGCTATGGGGCTCCGGCCCTGGACAGGAAGCTGAGCCAGAGGGCCCCTAATGTTACCTGCCCTCAAACAGCTGACAGCCTACTGGGACAGACGGACAAGTCCCTCAGTGTCAAGTGAACAGCTGATCTCAACAAGCAGTAAGATATGAGGGTTACAGAGACGTGTGTGTAATGCCACGGGGCAGGGGACAGTGGCCCCACCAGGGCAGGCTGATCAAGGCCAGCCTGCACAGAGTCCCTCCTCCGGTGACTGCCACATCCCCTCTGCCCCCATAGCTCCTGCCTTCTAATCATGGCACCCCCCCCCTCTCTTCTTCTGTCCTGGCTCCTCATCCTTAGCTTGCCTTTTCAGGATTTGGTGTTTTCTTGTGATCTGCCCCATTTCCTTCCTCTCCTGACTCTGCTCATTTTCTCTGAGTGATTGCCTCCATCCCGTAGCTACAACAAAGACGGGAATTTTACTTGAATTCCTGATCCTTACGTTCAACCGCGCCTGGCTATGTGCACGTTCATGTCCTTTCCGAATCTCCAACTTCGGCATGTCCCAAGCTCACCTCATCCTCCCACCTTTCAAACCCACTCCTCCTCCTGTGTTCCTTACCTCTGAACGGTGCCCCCAGCACATACACACAAACCTCTGCTCCACTCACAAGGCACCTCCTCTCTCTAAACCTTCACATTCAGTCTCCACCGACCTCTGTCATTGCTACCTGATGCAATGTGTTTACAGTTTCCTTCACTTGTCTTATTTCAGGCCCTGTCCTCTCTTGCAAGGATTATGGCAATAGTTCCTTGCCTAATCTCTTTATCCCCACTCTTCCCCCCAAACACCTGTTTTCTACTCTACATTGCCAGTGATGTTTTAATGATGGTGGTTGCATCATGGAGGTTATAGATTTGTAAGTAAATTAAATTTGATTCTATTAAGTAAAAATGGCAAGAAGGAGGGCTCCAGAGGTGGTCAGAACTTGGATAATAGGTGTGTCTTTTCTGTTGTGCTAAAGCATCAGGGAAACAAAACTGTTGAAAGATTTTGAGGCAGGAGAGGAACACGGTGGAACTGGATTTTAGAAATGAAACTTGGATTGGAGGATGGAAGAGCAAATGTTGAAGAAACCAGGAAGAGTCTATTGCAGGTGTGGCGTCAGAGACATAAAAGAGGAAGAATGGATATGAGAGGGGGGTTAGGGTTAGTCTCAAAGTTTGACCAGCTTTTGGAGGAGAGACAGGCTTCCTGGGAAGGGTTGAGATGCTTAATTCTTAGACAAGACGACTATGCAAAGAACAGGTGGATACATCCAGAAAGTGGTTTGTTGCATGGTAGAGGGATTTGCTTGATAACTCAGCATTCCTCTTGCTTTATTTCGGGCAAGCTCACTTTAGGGATTTCTGATAGTTTCTGCTGTTTCCACTGCTTCCATGGTTCCCTTGGCAGTGGTGACAAACATATTTCGCATGCCCTGGAGACTCTGATTTGCATGGTCTGTCTGGGGTGTCCTATTGTCCTGATCTGGGAATAGGACTGATGGGATTGATTGGAGATGCCCGCCTTGGGCAGGGACATGGGGAAGTGGTGACCCAGTGCTAAACTCCATCTTCTCTTACACTAAAGTCTCCTCTGAGCAGGGAGAGAATAAGAATACTAATATTGTCAATCTCTGCCAAGGGCACCACAGTCACTAGAAGTTAATTTAAACACCATATAAATTGGGGTGCCTGGGTGGCTCAGTGGGGTGAGGGTCAGACTCTTGATTTCGGCTCCAGTGGTGACCTCAGGGTCAGGAGATCCAGCCCCTCATTGGGCTCCGAGCTCAGCAGGGAGTCTGCTTGAGATTCTCTCTCTCCTTCTCCCTCTGCCCCTCCCCCACCTCACATGGCCTCTCTCTCTCAAAAATGAATCAATAAATATTAAAAAAAAATAATAAACACCACATAAATAATGTGAAAAGACATAAATCTAAAACTCTTAAGCCCAAAGTAAAAGGACATTTGATTTCTAGAGAAGAAGACAGATCGAAGCTCATGTTTTTCTTTTTTTTAATCCTGAAACATGGACCTGGACTTTTCATGAAAGGAAAGAGTGAAGGACACGTTGGAATTTGGAAGGATAGTGTGCATTAGGGGAGGCAGCCTTTTCAGAGAAATGAAATAGTTCAAGTTATTTCCTTTTTTGTTCCAAATGGACTTACCAGTAATAGAGCAAGAAGCAGACGTTGGGCAGAGTAACAGTGAGCTGTAGCCACCTCCAGTGAGGAAGCACATAGGCCAGCCCAGCCAACGCCAGGAGCCCCGCGGTGAAGGCCACTTGGTAAACAATGCCCACCGTTCTCCGATAGCTTAGCCCGACAAATTCTGTAACTGCAGAGAGAACCCAAATGGTCAATGCAAGTCGGTAGGACAATGGCTTGGCTGTCCAACTTTGGGGAAACGAGCATGCCAACCTCGAAAAAGAGGCCAAATTCTAGAAGTCTTTTAAATAGCTTTCTGAAAGATTTTAAACGTTCCTTAGGGCCTATTTTGTTATAATCATTGCTGTCACATTAATTAATCTAAGATCTTGTAATTCCACATTGGGTGGGGTGAGAGGCCCGCCAGTGTGAGCAAAATGTGTGATTTAGAGAATAATTTCAAGGGCAAATGCAACTGGATTTCAGATACATGCAAAAATTTTTTTGAAGCAATCCAAAGTTGTTTTTATTTTTTTAAATTGTTTTTGCCTTTAAAAAAAACCCCAGTTGTTTTTATTTGCAAACTTTTGATCTAGAGTAGTAAGGCAATGGTAATTTAAGTCCTGAATAAATGGATCAAAGATTGACTTGAGACTGTAGGTGGTTTTTATAAATGAACATCTCAATACAGCTCGTTCTCTTATATGAGTTAAATATTTTCTTGGCAATCCCGATAATGGGTGTAAATGGCTGGGAAACCTGGTAGTGGGTTTAGTGGGTTTCCATACTGATTGGTCAACTAGTACTGTCTTGCAAGAACTGATTTTTAAATTTCCAGGAATTTTGCAAGGTGGTTATTAAACCCATTGGTATCTTAAAGTCAGTCATGGTGGGAGTATTTGCAATTTAGAAATCAGACAACACCAAAAATCAGGGCTTTTTGTTTTCTAAAAGCCAGGTTATCAGCACACCACTGCATGTGGTAGAATAATCAGCTTTCTCCCATTCCATGACTGCATCTTGACAGATGTGTGAGGTCTGTAGTACATGGATTTAGGGGATAGTCATTTCTATATCACAAACATACTAGAATTTAAATTCCAGCTATTCCATGAACCACAGACCTTTGGCTTTTGATGTTTAGTAATCATGTTAAAGACTTCAACTATTTATAAACCATATAGAAATGCCCTCAAAAGGTATTTCTATATATTACTGCAAATGATCAAAAAGTATTTAAAACAAAGTTAAGCGAAAGTCTGTAAGTGCTCAATAAATAGAAATATTTCGACGTGGTTGGGGTCACGGACGGGGTCTGGGGGTCATGGGGCAGAAAGAGGTCAAGCAGCAAGGTGTACCTCAAGGACAGTCAGAGGGACTGGAGAAGAAATTAATGGGCAGAAGGCTGAAATTTAAATTTATACAATTAAATTATACATATTTCTACATAATCATGTGTTCTAAAAACCAAATTACTGATTGAATAACAGTACATTAATAAATTACTTCACTGCCCACATATAGATTAAATGTCTACCAGGACAGCACATAATAGCATCCAGCATCTTTCTTCTGAGTTGCAAACTAACTTTACCAGGTACAATTTTAAGCACACATATTCTAGCTCCCATGGGTAACCAGGGTTTTATGATGGTGATGGTTTCAATTTCAAAGCATCCATTTCCTTTCATTGGATGCTATTTGACTGTTGCCAAGGGAAAAGAAAGATGGAGTTCATTCCCAAGATCTGATTAGGATGCTAATTTTTCTTAATATGGCTTTAAAGATGCTATGCTGTTAGGATTCAAATATTCTCCTATACTTCATGGATCTTCCGCGTAATTCTGGCTGCTAGTGAGTGGGATGGAAAGATATTCCTCGTCAGACAAGTGGCTGGGGAACTTAGATTCTCCACAGTGCTCATGTTCTCCCTTTCCATGTATATACATTGAGGATAACAAGAGATTTCCTAGAATCCATTTATGCAAAGCAGTAAAGTCCCTTATAAGTCTAACATATCTGTCACCACTGAATTTTCCATGTGTAGGCCTGGTAGGCTAGATTTTTCTCTGTGTGTAACACCCCAGGGTACAGAAAACTTTTTCCTAAGAAGTTATATTAGAATCTGGATGGCTTGATGTTTACCCTCATTTCTGTCTTCATTGTTTTCTTTAGAGGAAGAATACAGAATGAGTGGACTGAAAAGATGTTAGAAATCCTTTTGATACAGAAAAAAAAAAAAATCTCTCAACATTTTCTTGAAGCTGGGTCCATTTTTTGGCACAGCCCCCTCCCGTCTCCTGAGGATTTTGGCAGCAACATGGCTTTGTTCTCACAGCCATAGCCACGAGCAATTCTTACTCAGGATGTAGCCTATTAACCAGCCTGCCTTGCTGACCAGCCCCTGGATCAAGCGGAAAATTAACACCCATGTATAGTTTGGGGAAACAGCCATGAGAACTCCAGATGCAGCATTTATGAGGATCGTTACCAAGAGGCAGAGCTTACGGCCAAACCTGCAAGGGGAGAAACAAAGAGAAAACATAGAATTAGATTAGATTCATGAAGGTTGTAGAAAATGGCGCGGGAGTTACGGAAATCTTAAGGGGAGGTTAGCTCTGAATTATGTAAACTCAGGAGGCTTGGATTGATGCCCACCAAAAGAATCCCTGACTTCAGGTTAGTTTGCTTCAGGACTTTTCCCCAGGGCACTCTGTGAAAATTCTATGCACAATGAGCCCCATTCACCCCAGGGCTAGAGAACCTTCTCAGTCCCACACTGTGGAGGGTATTCAGGCAGGGGGTGATTCTTCCAGGCCACCCAGTGCTGAATGCCCTAGGGGCCCGTCTGGGTCTTCCATCATCGTAGGAGCGGGGGCCTTTGCACTAACAGTCTCAACCAACTGCCCACCCAAGAGTTTTTGCTTTAGGAAAAAAAATTCAGTGTTTAATGTACTCCCCCATCCATTTTCAACACTGCTTTTGGACTTTGTGGTATTTGCATGTCTCCATGGAAAAGGTCTCTGGTGTCAGCTGTGGGGTGGGGGTGGGGCGTCTTTGTCCTGGAGTATCCCAGCAAGATAGCTTCCACACCTTTGGTCTGAGGGACTTGGTTTTCATCAGCTGAGGGACCTAGAGAGTGTCCCAGGACACAGAGGAGGGGAAAACTTAGAGACCTGGTTGAATTTTGGCTTTATCACTTAGTATAATGTCAGCCGGTTACTCAATCTTTCTCAATTTCCTCATCTGGTAAAGACCTATCTATCTGACCCAGTTGACAAGAGGATTAAATGAGATATTACACGTAAAGAGCTAGACACTTGGTCTCCCCCATTTCCTGCCTTCTGTTTGTAAGGCAGGCTCTCTGAAAGTTGACTTGGGACAACTCGTTCATATTGTCATCATGTCATCATATCCGCCTTGTTTTGTTCTAAGAGACACCCTAATTGGCTGTTAATGGGTATTTTAAAGATTCTTCATAGAAAGTAGTGTTTTATTTAATCTTTTCGTATCTACTTCAAACTGAAGAGTCATGAGCACTTTATGTCATTCACTTTGCACATTCGATGGTGGATGAACATTTTTTACCAGCCGTTCTGCTTGTAGGCATCTGTGTTCTAGTGTCCATTTCAATATTAACTGACCATGTAAGAATAATCTGCAACATCATTAACAATTATTTGGGATGTGAATGTTTTAAATCTGAAATTTAGAGATTAAGCAGTCTCATGAGTAATTAATGTAAACTGGTAAAATTCTTAAAACCCTCTTTTGGCTCTTCAGTTCTTTTTTTTTTTTTTTTAAGATTATTTATTTATTTATTTATTTGAGAGAGAGAGAGAGCATGAGAGCGGGGAGGGTCAGAGGGAGAAGCAGACTCCCTGCTGAGCAGGGAGCCCGATGCAGGACTTGATCCTGGGACTTCAGGATCATGACCTGAGCCGAAGGCAGTCACTTAACCAACTGAGCCACCCAGGCACCTCTGGCTATTCAGTTCTTAATTCTCAGTTAATGGTTCCCCACTGTAAATATCTGCTTCCTTGGCCTTTTTTTAGAGATAGAGAGAAAGAGAGAGAGAGAGCGCAAGTGGGGAGAGGAGCAGAGGGAGAGGGACAAGCAGACTCTGCGCTGAGCACAGAGCCCAATGTGGGACTCCATCTCACGACCCTGAGAACATGACCTGAGTCGAAACCAAGAGTTGCATGCTTAACTGACTGAGTCACCCAGACACCCCTACCTCCTTGGCCTTTTATTCAAAGTCTTCTAAAGTCACATCTCAACAAAGTATTTTAGCCTTTCTTCCCATGTTCTCCCACCAAATCCCTTTCTTTACCCCCGAGGAGTTTATAAACATTTGCTCAGGGGATAGCTCTCTAGCTTCCAAAGTTGACTTGGGCATACCATAGTAGTCCTGCTCCTGTAGATGGATAAAATCCTGTGGATAAGAGAGTATATTTACCTTTGGAAACTCAGAGCATGGAAACCTTCAGAAAATCAAAGCTATGATGCAAAAAAACTTCAGTGGGGGATATGTTCCAAATAAGGACATAATGTTATTACAAAAATATGGCATGGCTGAAAGAAGTTTGGGAGATCTAGGATAGTGGTTTGAGACTTCTTCCTGCAACAGAATCATGTAAGTGATTAAATGAAAAATAAAGAGCTAAAACAGCAGAGGGGGGTGGACTCCAGTGCTGCTAGCTTCATAAATCCATTGGCTACTTACTACTCAATGTGGCCCAAGCCTCATCTGCATCACCTGGGAGTGGTTAGAAATGCAGGGCTCACTCTAGGCCCCACTGGATCAGAATCAGAGTTCTAACAAAATCCGGGTGGTTTATATGCACATTAACATTGGGAAGCACTACTTTCATTTCACTGAGTTTCCTCATCTGCAAATTGGGGATAAGAAAATCATTTTTAAAAGGCTGTTTTGAACCTAAATGACATATAACACATCTGGATGCCCAATATGGTGCCTGGCACATAGTTGGTAGTAGAGAGCTTGTTTTGGAAAGTTTCACATAGTTGGGTAAGTTTGACAATGACCCACTGGGACTTTGATTCTGCTCTGATCTAGTTCCATCATGAAATATAGACAGTGGGTGCTGGCACTTGAGAGCTGATTATTAGGCTTTCAGAAAATTTTCGAGCTAATTGTTGAACACAGTCATTGTTAAAAATTACATCATACACTTAGGTAAATTATATTAAAAACAAGTGTAATAAATATGCAAAAACATTGTTTCCTAATTATTTCACCATGTTTGATGATTATCTATGCTCGTGAGATTATTTACTTGTGTCCTTTGTATCTGTACAGTGGAAATACTGGAAAATGGTGCATATTTCTAGCCAACTCTGTGTTCAGTGACCTCATTTTTTGGTAGCTTGAAATGACCGTGGTGGGAGTATGTACACCACAGAAATCAGCAAATGCTATACATCAAACCTTTATCCCTCAGAAAGCCAGTCATTGAACTTTTATAAGCATGCCACTAAATACAGAGCTTATAATTACTGATCAGTGGAGTAACAAATCTGGAATTGGTGAGAGATTACTTTTTCGTGTCAGGTGATACTAAAAAACATTCTTTAGGAGGTTTGAATGATGACATAAATTAGACATATTATAAAAAGTTTATTTTCAAATTCTCTAACACATGCCCATTCTTCCTTCCTCCAGTCCATTTGCAAACTGACCTTCAGAAAGCTGACATGGTGTAAACCTCCATATCCTTATTTACAACCTTTTCATAATATCCTTCTGGTTTTCTTCTAAAAGCTACCTTAATCAACTGCTGGTTCTTATTTTTCAAAAGCATCATAGAAGACGATCTATTTTATTTAATGTTGGTTTAATCTGTAGCATAAAATGAGTTTCCTTGAGATTCTTGTACCCTTGTATAAGATCTGAATATTGTCCAGAAATAGGCATCAAATATACAAAGATAACTTGCCTTTTCTTTTTCTCCCACTGGCTGTTGTCTTATTACCCACTCTCACATGCATACCTGAGTAGAACAGAAAGGAAGAGACAACAACCACCCAAACTTCAGACAACTTAAGAAAAAGAAATGGAGGTTTGGATATCGTTTTTGTGGGGAAGAATAATGAGTAATCAACTTTGCATAGGAGATTTCAACAATAGGAACAAAATAATGAGGTCATCCAAGAAGGTGGATAATTGACTGAGGATTGTAAATTAGGAATGCACTGTCAGTGGGGAATTATAACCGGTCTCCTACTCCTTGAGTGGGATGAGAGTAATTAACTCATTTATTTAACCAGCTGTGAAGCTCAGCCACCTATTTGCTCACTTCCAGCTGAGTGTTAGTATCTCTGCCTTACAGGGAACGAGGGAGCGGAGAGGGGGTAAGGAGCCGATGGGCCAGACAGACACACTGGAGCAAGGCAGACTCCAGACTGTCCCTTGCCGGCAGCTCTCCTGACTTACAGGGTCTTCTCCAAACCACAGACCTCACTTGTGGGGCAAGAAAAATAAAAGCCGATGACCTTCCTCTTTACCTCACAAGCCTCCCATGCAAAGGAAGATTCTTTAAAGGAAGACTAAGCAGACAGTTACGGAAGTGGTGTGAAGGACGGAGCTGCCCTGTGGCTCAGTGGCCTCAACTGCCTTGCCCCCCTCCCTCCTGCTGCCACAGTGGGGGCCCAGGCTATGAAACTGCAGATGCCCCTGGGAGAGGATAGATTAAGTTATTGTTATTAATCTCTAATTCACTTGCAAGTTTTCCTCCAGCCTGACAATACAGCATAGTCAAAGAAAATATTCGATTTACATTTAATATAATGCTCATGGGTTTGGGTTTATTTGCATCACAGATATAGTTGGGGAGGGCAACAAGCATAAAGTGTATTTGGCATTTATTTCAGAATTAAATATATATTTATATTTTGTAATAAATATAAATTTATTTTGTAATAAACATAAATATAAATTTATTAAACAGATTAGACTACATATATTTATTCTATAGTTCTATATCCTGAGCTCATGGGTGACTGGTTATTAAAGAGAATGATACTGTCCAAACAGTTAAGCATGGTGCCTGGCACATGGACAATACCCAATAAATAGTATTATGAGTGCTAAAGTATCAACTATAAAGCAAATTTTTCTGTTCATTTCCCTTTTGAGGACTCCTAAAAATATCTAATTGGCCATCAACCTGGTAAAGATGCCTGCTATATAGAACTTCTGGCACTGAGAATCTGGGATTACAAAGTGATGGATAAATAAGACATACAGGCATCACTGGATTCATACAACTCACTGAAGACTAGCTCCCTGAAGACACAGACCATCTAAGAGGACCATTTGCTATATGTTCTATACAGAGAGGTCCTTTCTCATCTCTCTCCAGGGACACTGACATTATGGAAGTGGATATTTACATCTGTCAGTGTAGATGGACCCAGTTTCCCTTTTACCAGATCATATCCTGGGTTCCACACCTATAATTACATCTGGCCCCAGGGCCCCAATTCAGTACTCCTACAATGCCAAGGACCAGACAGGGACAGCCACAGGGAGAGTCTACACTGGCTCTGGGTGTAGGAGAGGCAGGCAGAGGAGGGAGAGCTCAGGGCCCTGCCGGCTCACAGATGGGGGAATGATGATGAGGCCAATGAATTGGGAATCACAAAAAGGATCAAGTCATCTATGACTCTCCCTTCTGACCCTAACCCACAAGGAAAAACTGCTGCCTAAGGTAGAAATGTTCCTCTATGGCCCCAGGGAATTGGAAAATAGTCACATCGGTCGTGCTCATCAAAGCAGCAGAAGAAATCTCAAATTGTCAAGACAACTGACATGAGGCCAGGAAATTGTGGTCTTTGTGCTTGGGGAAAGGATGCTATTCAAGCAGGGGCAGGTGAATCCAAGTGCTTCCCGGACCTGCAGGACTTCTTAAATTCCACCACATTCGCACGGCACCTACCTGTCTGCTAGGTAGCCGATACTCACAGCACCGATAAAAAATCCTACATTCACAGCCGACTGAAACAGGTCCAGCATCCAGGAATCAGCACACACTAGGTTAAACTACAGAGAGGCAAAAGGTTTCCCAGGTCAGGAGAGAAAACAACATCCTATTAGACACAACTCAACCCAGGGAAACTCATTGAATATTCCTTGCATTGAACTGATGTGGCTGAATGGCATGGCGATAAACCAACTGTTTCTTGCTTATATGAATTTTCTTTACACAACTGGAAGACTTGTCCCATAATCTATTTAGCATTCCCTCTGGAAGTATGTCATTAAGCCAAATTCTGTTGTTGGCTAAATCAGCTGAAATCAGGTTTCCCTTTCTTTTTAAATATATATGTTTTTAAAAGATTTTATTTATTTGAGAGAGAGAGAGAAGGGGGGCAGAGGCAGAGGGACAAGCAGACTCCCCACTGAGCAGGGAGCCCGATGTGGGCTCTATCCCAGGACCCTGGGATCATGAGCCAAGTGGAAGGCAGACACTTAACCCACTAAGCCACCCAGTGCACCCCGCTACTTTCCTTTCTAGCTTTAATACACAGAAACAAATGGGTGTGTAAATAGGATATAAATGCTGCCCCAAGGAAGTTGGGCTGTTTAGCTTCTCTTTGCTGTCTCTTTAACAGTAGGGGAAGCAGGAATGTCTTCGTAGGCTGTTACATTTGCTCTCATTTGGAACAAGAGGCAATGTTGAAGGAAGAACAGGTGCTGGCCTGGAAGTTGGGGTATCTGATTTCCAGAGCGAACTGCTAACTCTCTCACTCTGTGGCCTTGGGCAAAATTTTTCTCAGTTCTGGGCCTCAGCTTCCTCATCTCTGTATGAAGGGATGAGATTAAGCCATGCTCTATAGCCTCTTAAAATTGTACGGTGTTATATCTATGACCTGGATCTATGGTTTCATGTAACTATTAGACCATTGAAGAAAAGCTCCTCTGCCTAAAAGTCTGTTCATACAGAATGTCTTCACATTATCCAAGCCGTCCTTTTCTTTTTTTTTTTTTTAAAGATTTTATTTATTCATTCGACAGAGAGACAGAGAGAGAGAGGGAACACAAGCGGGGAAGTGGGAGAGGGAGAAGCAGGCTTCCCACAGAGCAGGGAGCCCGATGCGGGGCTCGATCCCAGGACCCTGGGATCACGACCTGAGCCGAAGGCAGACGCCTAACCGACTGAGCCACTCAGGCGCCCCCCAAGCTGTCCTTTTAAATTAAGCCAGGCAGCTGGTTTTCTCTGGAGTTTTAGAATAATTGCATCCTCCCATTTTGCTTTGTCCCCAATAAAAGCAGGTCTCCACTTTTGTTTTGTTTTGTTTTGTTTTCTCTATATTCATTAAGATGAGTCTTCATAATTAGATGCTAATGTCGGAGTTTTTAATAAAGGGATAGTGCCTTAACAAAAGCTCCAGCCCCAGGAGGTTTTATGCAAATGTTTTTAGCAAATCAAAGAGAGAAAAACAGCCATCAAGAGAAAAACATATCCTATCACAGTGAGGCAACGTTCAGGTGAGTTCCGTGAGCTCCCAGCTGTCCATCTGTTATACAGCTGCCAGAATGGAGGGCTTTCAGGAAAAAAGAGGAGGCTTGAAAATTTTCCTTTTCCTGGAATTATTTCCAGGAATCTGCTACGCTTTTGCTTGTTTCTTACCACTGAAACTTGCGTGCATTGCAATCATTCTTGTCAGAATTTGATGAGGTTTAACTACTTCACTCCTATTCCAGACAAATAAGAGGCTGCATGTTTTTGTTGGAAACTAGGACTTTATAAGATTCTCTGAGTCCAAAGAGCATGTCCAGACAGTATAAGAACTGGGCTTTACTGGCTTCTTCCTTAAGAAAAGCTACTCTATTAGCTTTTTCCTAATGCAAGTCTTGCACTCACTTACCTCGGTCACGATGGACGAGCCCCGTGTGTCGTACACCCAGCCGTGGCGACAGGGCCCCAGCGGCAGGTGGCTCCTGTTGGTGGCCAGGCCTGCCAGCGGGTCCACGCAGCTGAGGGCGCTCCGGTTCCAGTCCACCTCGTAGCCGCGGCACTGGCGGGGGAAGGCCTCGCCCATGGCCCCCGGGCCGGGCACCGTGTAGTTCAGCTCGTCCGCCAGGCTCCAGCCGCATCGCCGGCTCAGCTCGGCCACCCCGGGGCTCAGGCAGCGGTGATCCGGGGTGAAGCCCAGGAAGACGATGCCCACGTAGATGGGGGTGAATGCTGCAGAGAGTAGAGCTAAGAGGAAAAACGTCTGTTTCTGGAAGAAGTCAAATTCCCCTATGTGCTCTAGAATGTCATCCATGGTTGGCATTATTACGAGAGGCGGGAGGAGTCCCGATGCTTTTCCCTGTGCCGGTACGAGTGTCCCTGAGCCAGGCCGTGGCCAGCTCAGCACAGCTCTTGACCAAGAGTCAAAGGGAGGGAGGGAGTTGACTTTAGAAAGTGACCAGCCTTTGATCCAGACCTTTACTTGCTCGGGCTAATTTCCAACCATGCCCTCCTCCGGGGGATGTGTGTCCTGCTGCTCTCCTGAAATGCCCGGAGCAAGTAACAGGGCTAGATGTTGTGTTCGTTGTAACCCCACTCTCGGCGAATTTGTGCTAGCTCACACCAGCACCACAAACAAGCCGTCCTCTGTATCACACAGGGAGAAATCGGAGAGCGTTCACGTATCGCAGACCTGTTAATCTCTCCCTAGTTAACTCAGTGTCCAGGAAATTAATATATTCGTATCTCACCCACGCAGCCAACCTTTTCTCTAAGGTGCTACAGAGAACGCACACGCATTTGGCTTTGCTGCCCAGCGTAACGTGAATCATGGTCTTGGGTCAGAGCTCTTGTCTGGATTCAAAACGGTTTGCAAATTCTACCCCTGGCCTCATTCTACAAACAACAGCAAGTTTTTACATTGGGGATCCCATGTTGTGGCTGCTTGTTTTGATTTTTTTTTTTTTCTAGATTTCGTAATTCTGCTTTTTAAAGATTTTAAAGAATGCCAATCTGGCATTCTTGCTTTACAACCCTGAAGTGTCCTTCCTTGACCCATTTGTGAGGAAAGAAGAAAATGTTCACCCCGCACGTACAGGTCAAGTGAAAATGCAGGCGGGAGTATCTTCATTCTTCTTTGGTCCTAGATATTTCTGCCCGTGGTCAGAGATGCCCCTTTAGAATGGGGTTGGGTGCATCTAAACACAAGACAAACAGCCCGTCTTTCCTGGTGTGCAAAAGGATCCTTACTACAGCGGGAAGCTGCCCCATAGAGAAGGTGACCTGTGGATATACCTGCAAATTAAAATACCAGAAATTTAATCCAGTTTTCTTTCTTCCTTTTCTTCCATTGACCAGCCAGTGGGTATGATAGCCCGGGTCTAAAAGTAGTAGCTCCTAAGGATCCTCTTCCTTGCTGCAGCTTCAAGCCTCTTATTTTCTTGAAAAAGCAAGAAGCAGGTGCCTGTTGGTCTCCTGTCAACCTCTTTTGCACCTTCATTGGCTCACAGGGGTGCTCTGCTTAGTGGCATCAAGCTGGGAGGATCTCTGTGTCCCCCGGCCCCAGTTTGCCACTGGCTAAGGGAGTGGGTTCAGACTCTGTAGAACCAAGAGTTTGGGGGAGTATTTCTGGCACGAAGGTATAATGACAAAGCTTATCCGCAATTACACCCACTGGCTATGCTATAGAAAACAAAACAAAACCAACAAGAAATGGATGACATATCCAAGGCCAGGGGTGGGCTGCAGGGAGCAGGGATCTCATCTTCTGGAAACACCAGACTTCTGAAAAGCTGTGGCTCATTCTGTGGCCATTATAGGTGCCAGGAAGCATTTATTAGAGATGAGGCTGTGGCCCAGTGTGGCCATGAATCTAAGATGTGTTCCAGTCCGTGCCTGAGGAGCTCCCCGGATGCAGAGATAGTTTTCAAATAAAAATTAAAAATCATTGATAAAATAAAGGAAAGATAAAGAAATAGTGCCAACCAGCAAAAAGATAAGGCAATGTTAAACAAGAAAAATGTACATTTAACTTTTGCTTATGGAAAATAGAGTAGGTGTACTTTTCTTTATTCTTCCCACTGAGTACAATGAAAATCCCAGGATACTATTTATGAAACAGTTGTAAGAGATGGAGCAGTGGAAAGAAGGCCGACTGGCTAGGGATCTCTGGGACCAAAGACACAGTGGTGAGTTTCCTCCCTGGGTTTTCTTTCTGCTTCACATAAACCGACTGGGTGCTGGAGAAGCCGGCAAGCCAGAACTACCAACGGGCATGGACATCAAGAGCCCTAGCTAAAGCCTGCTCTATCTAGATTCCCAGGAATAAGTTCGAGCTTTTTTATGACCACTGTGGGCATGTCGTCCCTCTTTTAAGTGTTTTAGTCAGTCTCTTGTTAACTTCAAATCGTGTTTGTCTCCTAAATGTCTCTTAAAATCGTCTTAAAAGAATGTCAGAACTCCATGCAACACAACATTGCATTAAAAGTTGCTGTCTGCAATCCTGCAGTGTGATCTAGTCATCTGAACAAGGATGCGGAGCACCAAGAACATAATTCCCTAGCTGGGAAGAACAGGCAGGGACCAGCTACCACCTAGACCGGCCTCCGTCAAATGTATGGATCCCTCAATAAGATCTTCAATACACACAGCCACTCAGCCTTGGAGGCTGCCAGCTTCCCTGTCCACCATTTCTAGTTAATAGAAAAGTTCCATCTTAGATAACACTGGTGCCTGTCCCTGTACAACCTCTCCCTACTGGACCTACTTGTCCCCTCCAGGATGACCAGAACCAGGACTCCTTCCTCTTCGAGGTGACACCCATCACATGGCAGAGGTCTGCACTATTGCTATGCCTGTGTGCAGAGGTTGAGGTGGTCTGTGCTTCCTCCTAGGAGTCAAACATGACCAGCTGTGGCTTTGGTCTTAGCACCACGACTTCTGCCTCCGGCCTCTTCTCTGACCCCAGGGAAATGATGACGGAAACCAGAGGTGGACTTATTGAGTGCCGTTGCGCATGGCCGCCAGCATGGCATGGAGCAGGGGGACGAGGGAGCTCCATCTCCGGAGCACATGCTCTGCTCCAGGACGTCTTTGAGGGGCTGTGTTCACGTGACTTCTGTCCTGTAATCCGAAGAACATCCCTGTGTGCTGGATGTGAATGCTCCTTTTTCACAGATGCGGATACTGGGGATCAGAGCATTATAGGAACTTCCTCAGTGTCAGCTAGCCAGTTAAGGATGAGTCAGACCCTGAGGCTAGGGTGCTCCCTTCCTCTGCCTCCCCTCATTCACCAGAAAAGCTGATAGAGTGAACTCTTAAAAAGTGACCAAGGTCATGACACTCGACTCCAATCCCAGGAACCCAGAGGTGGTCCTGACTGCCTCTTACTAGGACATTTTACAAACACCTGCACCCTGGGTTTGACTCATTGACATGATCCACTTCAAGACACCAGATCTTTTTTTTTTTTTTCTTAAAGATTTTATTTATTTATTTGACAGAGAGAGAGACAGCGAGAGCAGGAACACAAGCAGGGGGAGTGGGAGAGGGAGAAGCA